GGATTCCAGGAGTTTAGAAAACACATGTCAACACCAAAACTGGTCAATTTTCTCCATTTTTTGGAGTCGAGAAAGAAACATGTCAACACCAAAACTAGTCAATTTTCACCATTTTTTGAATTCCAGGAGTTTAGAAAAAAACATGTCAACACCAAAACTAGTCAATTTTCCCCATTTTTTGGATTCCAGGAGTTGAGAAAGAAACATGTCAACACCAAAGCTAGTCAATTTTCCACATATTTTGGATTCCAGGAGTTGAGAAAGAAACATGTCAACACCAAAACTAGTCAATTTTCCACATTTTTTGGACTCCAGGAGTTTGAGAAAAAAACATGTCAACACCAAAACTAGTCAATGTTCACCATTTTTTGGATTCCAGGAGTTGAGAAAGAAACATGTCAACACCAAAACTAGTAAATTTCCCCCATTTTTGGATTCCACGAGTTTGAGAAAACACATGTCAACACCAAAACTAGGCAATTTTCCCCATGGTTCTAAGTTTCAGTCCGTCAACACCAAAACTAGTCAATTTTCCCAATTTTTTGACTTGCACGAGTTTGAGCAAAACATGTCAACACCAAAAGTTTGAAAAAAAAACATGTCAACACCAAAACTAGTCAATTTTCCCCATTTTTTGACATGCACAAGTTTGAGAAAAACATGTCAACACCAAAACTAGAAAATGTTCACCATTTTTTGGATTCCAGGAGTCTGAGAAAAAACATGTCAACACCAAAACTAGTCAATTTTCACCATTTTTTGAATTCCAGGAGTTTGAGAAAAACATGTCAACACCAAAACTAGTCAATGTTCACCATTTTTGGATTCCAGGAGTTTGAGAAAAACATGTCAACACCAAAACTAGTCAATTTTCACCATTTTTTGGATTCCAGGAGTTTGAGAAAAAACATGTCAACACCAAAACTAGTCAATTTTCACCATTGTTTGGATTCCAGGAGTTTGAGAAAACGCTGTCAACACCAAAACTAGTCAATTTTCCCCATTGTTTGGATTCCAGGAGTTTGAGAAAAAAACATGTCAACACCAAAACTAGTCAATTTTCCCCATGGTTCTAAGTTTCAGTCCGTCAACACCAAAACTAGTCAATTTTCACCATTTTTTGGACTCCAGGAGTTTGAGAAAACACATGTCAACACCAAAACTAGGCAATTTTTCCCATGGTTCTAAGTTTCAGTCCGTCAACACCAAAACTAGTCAATTTTCCCAATTTTTTGACTTGCACGAGTTTGAGAAACACATGTCAACACCAAAAGTTTGAGAAAAAAACATGTCAACACCAAAACTAGTCAATGTTCCCCTTTTTTTGACTTGTGCACAAGTTTGAGAAAAACATGTCAACACCAAAAATTTGAGAAAAAAACATGTCAACACCAAAATTTTGACAACAAACAAGCACATGCATGTGGCAAACCATGGCAAACCCAAGAATAAACCTATCATGTGGGGATGCTTTATACAGTGACATGTACCACCCATTTATGATGATTTTAGGTAGAATCTTTTGTTCAATCCATCAAACAACACATCATATTACTCAGCTAGTTTTACGGGTACTTTTCGGGTAAAAAACTGCGAGGGGGTAGTCATTATTGGCTCTCCGAGCACCATTTTTCGTAGTGGTTCTAAGTTCTGATTACCGTGAACAGTTTCGCAAAACGTAAAAATATCATTTTGTTTTATCAATTTTACCCAAATCTGAGCGGGTAGTTCCGGGTACTTTTTCGGGGTATGGCAAATTTCCAAAACGAGGTTCTAAGTTTCAGATCATCACTATATCAGTCTTGCAAACGCAGGCAAAGCTGCAGTGAACATGTAATGCAAATGTTGAAATCCACGGCGCACGTTTTCCACATTGCTGAGAGCCACTGCGGAGTGCACACAAAGTCTGACATGCTGCTATAAGTGAGGTGCATTGTTACATGCTAATTTTTGTCACCACCTCCAAAGTCTGTGTTTTTCACATACTTTGGCCTGTGCTGTAGCATGTCGCTCCTATGACTGTACACCTATCATCCCGCAGCTGCAGCGCTAGAAGAGCCGCCAGTGCCAGCGCCACCATCCGCGACTCGTCCACGTTGAGGCCGGTCGCCAGCGCCAGCATTGTCATCATCATAGTCGTAGGAGCGCTCATTTCTGTCATCGTTGCGTTCTTCTTCTTCTTCCTTTTTTTTCCCTTCTTCTTCTTCTTCTTCTTTTTCTTCTTCTTCTTCTTCTTCTTCTGTTTCTTCTTCTTCTTCTTCTGTTTCTTTTTCTTTTTCTTCTTCTTCTTTTTCTTCTTCTTTTTCTTCTTCTTCTTCTTCTTCTTCCCCTTCTTCTTCTTCTTTTTCTTCTTCTTCTTCTTTTTTTCCTTCTTCTTCTTGTTCTGAACATCGCTGAACACTGCTACTGACATCAAACTCGCAGCAACTCCGCATGCCCATTTTTAACTGCTTGAAATTGCACATGTCCGTTGGAGCCCGGTGACAAGATTCTCACCGTTGTCTACAATGATGGATTTTTTCCATCCCTGCGGCGATCTTCACTTTGAAGGATCGATGAGCTGAGAGCAACAAAAATGAAACTTAGGGCACAAAATGTCTGTTATAGCCCAGATCAGCCCCATCGCTCCATGGTTTGTGTGTGAAGACTCCATCTCGGAGATGAATGTATACTGCATTCCAAGTTTAGAATAAGCAGCAATTTGAGGAGACACAAAAATATGATATACCCCAATGGCGGAGAAACGGAATGTGCTATGCAAGAGTTTGCAGGTGAAGCAGAAAGCAAAGGGAAGGGAAAACAACCAAAGATTGTGGGAGGGTGAATTTGGCAAACTCTTGCACCACGCCTGAATGCATGCAGTGTTCAGCTAAGAGCCCAAAATGACGTGTCAAACAAGTTCAAAACAGCCATGAACAAGTACATAGACAGTTCTGAACATCGCTGAACACTGCTACTGACATCAAGCTCGCAGCAACTCCGCATGCCAATTTTAACTGCCTGAAATTGCACATGTCAGTTGGAGCCCGGTGACAAGATTCTCACCAAATAATTCTGGGATACATTTGAACACGCATTCAATCCCCCTAGTTCTCGTGTGTTCAGGCAGGTAACGGAGCCAGGAAATTGTTGATCCCGGTGGGTAAACGTGAAACTGGGCTTTGACCTGCCACAAAGATTCTAATGTGAAATGGACGCGATTGATGGCTTGAAATTGGGGTGGCAATGTGGCTATGCCATCCCATCGGCTTAGCATATCTGCTTGTTGGTTCGCTGCACCTGGAATATGTTGGGTTTCCACTAACATTCCATTTAAAGCAAGCAGCAAACTGATCTTTTCAAGAACCAAGGCATGGGGCATGGCTGTAGTGAACAGCGCAATCACTCCGGCTTCGAGGCCACGCCTCGGACGCAAAACGTATTGGCACAAGGACAAAGCGAGGCTTACGGGGACTCGAAACTACAAAAACTAGACGACGGTTGGCCCGAGAGCGAAAAACACGTTTTTCAAGCAGCTCTGAGTATGGTAGTCGTAAAAAAATAGTCGGTGAATGGTTGGTGAATTTTATCTGAGCTATGCAGGGATAAGTTGTGAAAAGTAAGATTGATTGAGAAGAGGATACATGTGACAAATGCACATGCACTGTGCTGCTTGTTACAAAGGGCATCATGTGACACTTGTCTTGCAACCACAGAGAGACATAGATAGAGAGAAAGAGAGAGAGAGAGAGAGAGCAAACTGGCCGAGCCGATTCGTAACAATTAGGCAGTGTATCTCATAGTTTCTCGCTTGGAGAGGAAATTGTTGCCCAATTGTGAGTTGATTATCTTCAATCTTCGGCAGGTGTTTTTCCTGTTCAGCTTTGAGTCGGATTAACGCCAAAGGACCCATTTTGACGCACTTGGACGCACTACTCTTGAATTCCTGACAGTTGCAATCATCATGCCGTGTCTTTACCTCACCAAGGTTGAGAGCAGGTGTTAGTTGTGAGACAATACTTTCAATGGTGGTGGTCGAATTTGCAGTAGCAGAATAAAGTTCGACTGGTACTGGAAATTATCAAACCTTGGTCTACCTCTCTCCTACGCGTACGCTCTTGCGCATTTCCGCTTTATTAAAAACTTAGACACAAAAAAAACATATATATATATATATATGACATAGTACACTCAAGTACCACATATATATATGAAAACGAGCACGTCAATAACAAAAATTCACATCACTGAAGTGGGACAACGACAGCTCACTCACGGTCTTATTAAATCTCACCTTTTTTATTCTTTCAATAAATTGGGGAGTCGGCACGCTTTCGTGATTGCGTAAGACGCCTTCGCATCTCACGCCTTCCACCCCTTCGCATCTCACGCCCGGACGGGGGTTTTGGGAGGGCGGGTCAGCCTCCGGGAAGTGAGACTTTGTCCCACCCACCCACCCTTGAAACTTAAAAAGACGGATGTCAAAACTGTTCAAACAAAACAGAGATCCACAAAAGGATCAAAACACTGAGGTTTGTTTTGACAGTTTGTTTGCAACAGCAACTTAAACAAGTTTGGGAGTTAAGAGGTCAATACCTTAAACTTCCAAAGCGCGAAACGCAGGGACGCGAGGCGCACGCGTGGAGGAAGAGAGGACGGTGGCTTCCCACCTGTAGACTAGGTTTTATAAGGGCTCATCACTAAAGTGAGACGCAACTTATCAAACCTTGGTCTACCTCTCTCCTACGCGTACGCTCTTGCGCATTTCCGCTTTATTAAAAACTTAGACACAAAAAAACATATATATATATATATATGACATAGTACACTCAAGTACCACATATATATATGAAAACGAGCACGTCAATAACAAAAATTCACATCACTGAAGTGGGACAACGACAGCTCACTCACGGTCTTATTAAATCTCACCTTTTTTATTCTTTCAATAAATTGGGAGTCGGCACGCTTTCGTGATTGCGTAAGACGCCTTCGCATCTCACGCCTTCCACCCCTCTTCATTATTTCGTGAGATCGTAGCGTGGTGAGCAGCGTTTGAAGCCCTTTGCTTCGAGCTCAGAGAATTGTAAACGAGATGGGTCATCGCTCAAATTCGACTTGGAAGGTACTCGAGTGTACCAGTGCATTGCTTGTAACTCAACGTCCAACCTCGCGTTGATAACCAAAAGTTCGTAGTTTTCAAGCACAGGTGAATATGAGCGAATGACTGCAGCAAGAGAAGAGTTATTGTCAATGAACCAGAGGACAGCACGTCCTGATATCAAATGACTCCAAGTGTTCTTTGCAACAAGGACTGGAAATAGTTCAGCCTGACAGATCAGCTGCTTCTTTCCTTCTGTGCGCCACTTGTCTGTCCAGCAAGTTGGTACATAGTCACCAAACATCAAGGCGTGATGTGATTCAGGGTCGTAAAAGGCAGCCCCATGAGTCACACACAGGCCATCTTCCTCACAAGCTCCGTCTGTGAAGATGATAAGCGGGGGTCTTCCTGACCAGGCAGAAACATGACGTGGTTTTGCATCCATCAAACAAAGCAGTGCCGCATTGATAACTTCCTTGAGTTTTTCATCGAGTACCACCAGTGGCCCTCTCCTGGCAACTCGAGAAATAAGTTGTATTGCAAGCTGAGAACACCTCCCAAATGTGTGACCCGCTGCATATAACAGCCTGCCCTTCAAGGTTTCGAGCAGCGAGAGCGCAACTGTCTCGCTTTGACAAATGCTTTGAACCAAGCTCTGCAAATCAGCAATTCGAGACGGTTTGTTGTGAACCGCCACAAGCCCAGCTGTAGACCGCGTCAGGTCAACCACCGCTCCAAGAAGGTTAAATTCTCCAGCGAAAGCCGAACGCTTATCTTCAGACATGGAAATGCGCCAGCCCAAAAGCTTCATCACAAACTCTGCTGTCTCCCATGCTGACTCGCATAGACCTTCGCACTCAAGCTGACAAAAATCGTCGAAAAAATTTGTGTTGATCACCATGAAGAGCTCTGAAAGAATCAGCCTTAATGCCTTTGCCATCCTATTAAACGCCATCACAGCGCATACAGACCCGAACGGCAGGGCGACTGACTCGTAAAATTCGACTGTGCCAGCATCATCATTCCAAACCGCAAGGATGGCTGCCCAGCTGTCAGCTGGATGCCGGGCAAGTTGCTTGTAAGCGCTCTTCAGATCTAGCGCCCTTCCAAATATCTTTCGCCAGGGCCCTGTGAAGAATCTGACCCGTTCGGAGCACCACAAGTTGTCAAGCTCATCATCCATCATCAAAAAGTCGCAACCAAGGAAGGTACGCGCTGTGTTGACAACCTCGTCGAGTCCAAACAACTGCAATTTCTCAGTCGCCGTTACAGAGGCGTTCACCAAAAATTCAGAAAAATCATCGACCGCCCGTATCTTTCCACCTTGTCTCACCCCGAACCTTTTCGACGGGATCCAGCAACCATCAAACTTCTTGTCCAATTCTGAAGAGGTGTAAGGCCCTTTCACCCAGCCATCCGCCTTCTGCTGAATGGTTTCCTCATATACAGCCCAGGCTATTTCAGGGTCTGCACCAACTCGTCTGCATGACGCATGGATCATCTTCTTTGCCCACACTGAAGAGTCCTTGAGCTGCTGCACAGAAATCATGGCAGGTTTGAGGCGCGCAGGGAACTGCTTGGACTCCAGCATCTGACCTGTCAACTTGAAGCCTCATCTCCTTGAATAGAAGCAGTCGTTTGCCCTCCAGCACGCGTCTGACATCGGGATCCAGCGAGTTCTTAAGTTGGTTCTCCTCACTGGAGAGCTGGGCTGCTCTCTCTGTATATCTTCTTAGTTGCTGGGCCCTGAATTTCAACACCTCCGCCTTAGTGTGGTCCCTAATGAACACCATGGCCTTTAGGTTGCTCTTGTCCACTGTATGAGGGCTGTCCAAAGGGTGCTCTAACGTTAGGGCCTTGTCCAAAAACTCCCAGGGTGAACGAAAAACACCATATGACGACAGGGAAAAAACCTTCTTCTCGCCATTCTCCCCCACTTCAGTTACCATTCGAGAAGAAATCAACTTAGAGTGCAAGGGGAGGCCCTGAAATGGAGCGTGCACATTGTCCTCGATGGACGCGGGAATGGTGACATCAGTTGATTTGATGTCGATTTTGAATTTGAAATCACCCACCAGCAAGGGAGCTCTGGCCCCTCGGGGTTGTAAACCTGAGCCCATGCGCTGTTCTTGTTCAATTTGACCGGAAGAGAGGGACAAATTCTTTCCATCTCTTTGCAGTTGCTCTATAAACGCAAGGGCCAATTGGCGGCATAAACCGTTAGGATATTCCGTCTCCAGACTTGTTGAAAATTTCATTTCAGATCCAGCAGGCTGCGCCACCATTCCCCAAGGCAACTGTGGGTGGCTTTCATCACATTCCAAAAGCAAGTTTGCAGCATGAAAGTTCATCAAAAAGGACGTACGCTTCTTTCTTTTTCCACCATACATGCAAGAGTGGACATGCTGAAAACGAAAAGTACCAGGCAGTTGGAGGAAAGGGTCAGTCATCCACATGAGCGACCGGCGGGGGTTTTCACAAATAAAAGGAATACCTTTTCTCTCACACAGGTCCATGACCTTTCTTGCAAACGCATACAACTTGTTGGCAGCAAGAACTTTGATTTTTGCAACTCCGCGCAAACTAGAAAAACCCATTGGCTCAGCTTCAGATCTGAGCGGAACTGGTCGCATCCCTTTCCTAAGCTTGTGCCGTTTGGGCACGGGAATTTCACGAGCTCTTGACGCCGTTCCACACGGCGGTGCCAGCATCACAGCGTCCACCTTGTCCTCCTCTATCCACTGCAAGACTGTAGCTTGGCCGTCCTGCTTTGACAAATCTACTTTCGCCACAGGTCCTTTGACCCTTCTCTTGTCTATTATGTGGTCAATTCCCAGGGCCTCTCCACCCATTGCTCGAAACGCTGCAGCCACGCCAGCTGTACCACAAAATAAATCCAAAAGGAAAAGTTGCTTTGAATGCGTTGTTGCATTCGACCCTGCCCGACCATCAACTTCTTGATTGGCAGCAGGTCCAGTATGACTCGACTGTTCTTCAGCGATGTCACAAAAAGACCGAGGCTCTTTTGCCTCATTTGTGTCCGTTGCAGAGCGCATTCGCTTTGCAACCAACGTGTGCTCAAGGCATCCACTGCCTTCAAAAAGGGCGGCTGACACACGCTTTCGTGAGCCTGCCACCAGGCCAGGCGATCCTCATCGCCCTCTTTGCCATCTGCTTTCAAGGCAACTCCTGCAGCTAGTCACGAGCCAGGTTTTTGGGCTGTGACAAAGGCATGTCGCTTGTTGCAACCCTTCTTGCAACATGTGTGGAGTCCCTTCGGACAATCACCTGAGTGAGAGCAAGTGCCCAGGTTGAACCCAAAACAAATTGGCTGGCCGTCCTCGTTGCAAGGCACACAGCCGACCAGCTTCTTCGGCATAGGCGTCCTCTTCAACTTTTTGATCCGGAGTGCCTCTTGTTTGTTCTTGTTTGGCTCCACCTTGGTCCTTTTGGGTTCTGCATCCTGTGAAATCTTTCCAGGGGCATCGCCATGATGTGCTTTTGCCACAGGCCGCTTTGGCAGCGGCATCAGGAGCCACTTCAATTCAGGGCCCTCCAAAATGGCTTTGGCTGGCAAGTCAAGGGGCAACTCTCCAGCCGGGCCGTTGCGGAAACCCGCACGTGTGGCCTCAGCCAATCTGACATGAAGCTCCCTGTCAGCCGCTGCAACCTGCTGCAAGGTCACTTGAGCAAAACCTTCCATGGGCTCTTTCTTCAGCTCGAAGAAGAAATAGTTGATAATTGATTCGTGCACCTCAAACGTCATCGCCTGAGCGATCTCATATGCCACTCCACGTCGTCTCAGTGCGTGGTGCACATCGAGCTCTGTGTTCAAGACTGCGGCCAAAGCAGGGTCTTTGTTCGTGGCCCTGATAGCACCTGAGCTGTCAGCTTTCCATATCTTCAAGTCATTGTCTTCCTTCACATTGTTTACCTCTTGTGTGCGCGATGTGCAACGCGCCCATTCAATGTACCTCACTCTGCCATCCTCCACGCACTGCACCAACGAGTTGATCAAGTGATGTGACGGTTCCAGAAAGTTGGCCACAATCAACGGGTGAATTCTGGCCTGCAGCAACTCGATCCTTTGGGCTATTTCGGGTGCAGGAAGTTTCCTGGGCGCCTCCTGCTCTGTCGAGTCCACCTTGCGTTTCATCTCGGCAGCGGTCAAGGTGTGGGCTTCGAAGAACAATCTCCTAAGCTTTGGAGCGTCTCTGTGGTCAGCGTTCCCAAGCAATGGTGTGATGACACCGTCTGCAAATATCTGTTCATCTCCACCCGGCGTCGTTGCAACCGAGAAAGCATAAGTTGCATGTGACACCCATCCACGCAATCCCATTTGGGCAATGACCTGGTCATCGATGCCGATAGCCCTAGCCCTTGCTTCGAACACAGGTGTACTGTCCAACAAAGACATGGCTGCGCCAGTCCCGTTGCGGAGGAGGTCTCAGGGGTGACCAAAAAAAACAAAGCAAAATTGTCATGCCAAACATCTGCACATTTGAACCCTTGATTTTCCAACATGTGACGAATGCAAACAACATGCATGAAGGATTCTCCTAGTCCATGACAGCATTCCGTCATCTGGAGCCTGAAGTCACATGAACATCAAATCACACTCATGGCCCTCTGGCCACGGCTTGCACTGGTGGTGATTGACGCCTCAAAAAAAATGATATGCTCATTCCGTGCGCAAGAGTGAGCGCTTCTCATCGCCCATAGATTCAAACCCTTTTTTGTCCCTCTTGTGCTTCTTCAAGAGTGTCGCTCTGAATTAGTGAGCCCTGTCAGCCCACTACTTATATTCAAAAGCATGGCACTGCGCATCTGGAACTTGGAAATCATTGAAAAAATTTTTTGACTGATCAATGAACAACATTCAAGACAAACAGCTGCAACACACGTCCAAAACAACTGAGTGCAGACATTGACACTGCAGGCCACGACCGACATCCGGTGCTGCGGTTTGCAACAGCGTGTCCTTCATCCCTTCTGTCCAGGTGACAGGACGCCACAACATGTCGTGGACGTGCATTCATGTTGACTGGATGTCTGTTTGAAAAAGTTTGAACTGAGTCTGAAACAATAAATTCTTTTTATTCCAGTGAATTTCAAGTTCAACCCCACGACACACTGAACAACAATGCACATGCCTAGATTGAATCCAGTCTGAGCCCACGACTTCCGTGAAACGTGCTCTCTCCAGAACACTACTGTCCAATCAGTACATGCCGCATCATTGAAACATGGTGGTTGCAACAGAGATTATTGAAGCTGCAAATGTGGTTGGAAACAAAGTTGCAAAGTTGGACAACCCCTCAAGTACTTACCGCTTGGGTGAGTCGATAAAGGTGGCGGTCTCCCTGCAAACCTACGACTCATGGCCAACAAGTTTGAGAATGTGTTCAGTACACAATGAGAGTTTCAGAAGCAAGGCAACAGCGGTTTAGAGACTACCTCTAAGCAACTGCGGATCATAAGCTTTCACCTTACGTCAGGACGACATATTCAACTTAATCGAGTAGAAGGCAAAGGCAGCTCACCCTATTTGACCAAGGTGGACGCACTGCAAATCCTTCCGTTCAAAAGTTGTCAACTAGTCATCCTCGTCCCACCTTATATTGACTATCGCACACTTCTAACTTCACCAACGCAGTTGTCAACTGGAAGAATATGGCAATTGATTTAGAAGGTGTCGGCAGAGAAAACGCCAATTTCGAGAATGAGGACATTGATATGCACCCAGGAAGCTCCAAACAGGTGTATACGCCTGATGCTAAGAAAACCAACAATGATGGAACACCTGTTAGCAGCCAAAAAGACCACCCCCCTGCCCTGAAACCTTCCAATGAAGTTAAAAGCTCGAGTAAACCCAGTGGAAATAGCCCTTCACTGAGAGAAGCCACATCACTAGCTGATGAGTCACAGCGAGAAGGCAGCTTGAAACATCATACTACTCCACTCCACTCCAGTGTAAAGGTACTCCCATCCCGCAACTCTGCACCGCCTACAGAGTTGGCAGACGCTCATACCGGTGAAAATAGGTTGGAGAACACTGACCTTATCACATTTACCCCTCCCAGCCAAAGAGACTGTAGAAATAACGCACATCCTTTGGTGTCTCTAGCAAGTGGTCAACTTTGTAGTGCCTCACACATGCCGAGGAACACCGATCAAGCCAAGGATGCAGCTACTGGCCTTGCTAATGGGAAAGGAAAGGCAAAAGGAAAGCAGACTCAGAAGACGACAGCTGCTAAGCATAGAGATGAACCGCTCATACATGCTGCCAAAAAAAGGAGTGCTACTGCATCTGTCAATGATGAAACTCAGATTTGCATTGACATTACGGGAGGAAACGATGAAATTGATCCAGACGGAACTCCTGAAACTGTGGCAATTGTTCACGAGTAGTTGCATCTCACTTTAGTGATGAGCCCTTATAAAACCTAGTCTACAGGTGGGAAGCCACCGTCCTCTCTTCCTCCACGCGTGCGCCTCGCGTCCCTGCGTTTCGCGCTTTGGAAGTTTAAGGTATTGATGCGAAATTTCAAACAGACCTAATTACAACCACTAGTCGCTGACGCACGCAATGGGGTCGGCCTCCGCCACGTCGAGTGTTTAAACAAAACACAAAACCCCAAAACAACGGCTCTCACTGCACCAGTCGCTCAACTCTTTTCCACACAGGAAACGACGAGAGCAAAGAAAGTTTGCTGTTCATGCAGCATGCACTGTGCTATGTTGGTCTTCTTGCACTTGTCCCGTCTTGAACATGGCAGCGGAATCACACAGATTCCAAACGCACCAAAAACATTCAGTTTCACATTGATGAATTCATGTTGGTTGAATTCATCACCATTTCCAAAAATATTCTCAAATAACTTCAAACTCCAAAAACGTTCTCCTCGTCCACAAACTTCTCAAAAACATCATGCAGCTTCCAGAAAAATGCAAAACGCAGTTTGGCAGAAAAATAAATTTGTTTGTTGTTGTTGACAAACGACATGCACATCCAGGAAAAAATAAAGTTGCACCACAACCGTCCAAATTCACTTGCAAATGCCGCGCATGCAGCAAGTGAGTTTCGAAAACAACGTTTGACCTTCTTGTCCATAAACATCATCACCAAATACTTTGCATTACCATGCAAAGTCCAGAAAACAACGAAAAATACATCATTCCCAGATGTTATTCCACCATTCTGCAGCAAATCCAGAGCTGTGCACAAAGAAGACATTGTTGTAACCAAATTCCACATGCCATATCAAGTTGTCAGGGGAACGTAGCACATGTTCACCGTATCAACGGGAGTTTATACTTCCATACCCCCTTTTGCTACGATTCCCATGCAGCTTGGCTAAGAAAGTTTCCAACATGCAGCACAATGCATTGTATATGTATCCACATCATCTGTAAAACCATTGTGAGGATCCGCACACGAAGTCATCTCTTCCCAGCAGTTGCAGATGTATCGAAAATACCTGTGTACGTTAATTATTCCTGTGTCATCGCTGTTGTCTGTGTCCGCATACTCATTGATGCAGAAAGATTGAACTCAAAGTGCCAAGTTGAAATCACCTTGCAACGGATTCCATGCAGTCCGGTCCATCATAAAAGAAGTCCCATAGATTCTGCACAGAGCATCCATACCAGTGAATTCCAGGCACATTGCACAAAAAGAAAACCATAGGCTTGGGCATGCAATGTCTCAAAGACCTCCAGCATTCAACGCCACTCGAACTCACGCTGGTACACGTAGCCAGCATTCAGGAATGCGTCAACTCGACAGTGCATAAGAAATGCACAGAAATCAGGACCCTGTGTCCTGGGTGTGGAAGTCAACTTCTTCCTGAATTGTCCGATCATCTTCTTGGCGTAGCGACATTCATCTGCACTCTTGTTGAAGACCTTGACAACAAAGGCATGATATGTAATTGGCGATGCAGCGAATTTTCCCATCTTCAATAGCGTGCAAGACCAGTGATATGTGTCCTTGATCCATGCAGGCTTTGGAATTGAGAAATCCACCTCTTCGTAATTAACATCAGCATCTTGCCAGTTGTCTGCCCATTTGTGAGTGCCTGGCAATCCAGTGGGAAAGCTCGGAAAGAGCGGTGGTGAGTCCCCTGTATCGGAGATGAAGGAATAGCTGCCAAGCCCATCCTCACTGTCAGAGGCGGACATCACGGCCTCATGACGACGTTTGGAGCCGTCTGTCATTGCACCATCTGGCATCTTGTTTGAATTCGGTTCCACCACATCAGGTGGCTCCTCCGAGATGCGTGCACACTTTGTAGAATGGCTTGTGGCCTTGGGAAACTGTGATTCCTTTCCCTTTCCTTCCTTTCCTTTCTCACCCTTTGCACCTTTCTCGAATTCTTTGCCCTTGCCCTTTTCGCTTTGACCACCTTTGCCGAATTCTCCTTTTCCACCCTTCTCGAATCCCTTGCCTTTGCCCTTCTGTTCATTGTATGACTGTTCACTTCCAAGAGCTGCGGCAGGGAGTACTGGTGGATCAGCTTTGGCAGGAGGAGGGATAGGCACCTGTGCATTGAATTTTGGGAAACCCGCTGAACCTCCTTCATCCGGATGGCAGTATTGATTTGCAATGGCTGCAATGGCGGCAGCAGCAGCCTTTGCCTCCGCAAGGTCCGCATTCTTTTGCACAACGTTCCCATAAATTTGAATCACAGGCTTATCCTTCGGCTTGTCATCCTTCTCCACATCTTCAATCCAGGGGTCGTCATTGGGATCGTAAGGGCGATCCTGCCACTTCTTGTGGTATTCACGTGCATCACGAATCCCAGAGCTTGCCCCTTGCTGCAAAGTCTTCGGTGGAGATGCCGGTGGTACCTTCCATGCTGGATCATCTGGCCATAGAGCACCTGGAGGCGCTTTACCAGCATTCGAATTCGTAGATGAATTCTTGTCAGCTGGGTGACCTTCATTACACTCTTGCCAGTCGTCATCCGGTGGGTAGGTTCTGTTCATGGGAGCATTTTTGACCTCCTTCTTGTGGACAGTCAAAAAAAGTTCGTTCATCTTCCCACCTTCCTCAGCTTTGCGCATGAGTGCACGTAGTTGGTCCCATTCTCCCTGTGTCATATTCGTCCCAAGAACTGGATCATTGGGATCGTATGGGAGTTGCTGCGAATTCATCGGATTCGATCCAGAGTGCCCGTAGGGGCCTGCTTCTGCTGGCGGCCAGTGCTGTTGTCCATACTTTCGAGCCATTGCGTCAGTCGATCTAATTCCTAATTGAAAGCTGTTTCAACACACACACGCACCCAGAGTCGAGTACCGCAGTTTAGCCGTTTTGAGGGTCCTAAACTCCGCAAATGTTGAATTGGGCGTGTGAGTTGTGTCATGTACCTGACATCCTTAGTAGCATGCAGGTCGTTGCATTTCGACTGACGT